TAATTAATTAACAATTAATTATAAAAATCTATTTTTACATCTCTAAAATGCAAAAGTAAATTAGTCAATAGACCCACCTCAATCTCCAAAAAAAAATTCTACCTAGATTGCTTGGGAAAGGCAAGTAATCAAACAAAAAAGCCAAAAGGCTGTCTTTATTATCTTTTATTTTCTCAGCCATAGAAGATTTGTATTAATAATCATTGAAAGCTATATAATAAGTTCAGATTAAAGGTTGGAGATAATCTGCTGCAACATCATAAATACATCACCATAAACAACAGAATGCAGCAGGGTTCAAAAAATGAGCAAAATATCAGACCATAGGGGCATAAAATGAGACACTACACAACACATGACAACCCGCGTAATGAGAGCATAACACGAGTGAGGAAAAGTGTTAGGCCTGAAGTAGTGCCAGATTATAGGACGCCAATAGTGTTACCACCAAGTAGAAAAGAAAGATGATTAATTTGTCGATTACATGCTTTTTGAATTATGCAAAACACTTTCATAATTTGTAAAATTTGATTTAGTTTTTACCTGAGTCATTCACATTAAATTTAAATTCACTAATTAATGATGATAATTAAGAAATTTCAAACTTTGGGGTTCATTTCAATAAAGATGTCCGTGGCTCTTGCCACCAACAATAATCATCTATGGCATTAATCCTTTAAGAGGCATGAATCCAAAATAAGGAGCAAATTTTGATAAGGAAAAGAATCTTGTCCTCTTTCCACACTTTGTTGTTAACTATAGTATCATTTCGTGCCAAGCATAGGGACCAAAAAGAAGCTCCACATACTATCATCCATCGTTTGTGAGTAATACTTGTAAAAGGACAGTCCGGCCATACCAACTAAAATAACATGAAAGAAGAATATGGGAGCTTCTCTCCTCCACTTGGCCACACGAAGGACAATGAATCTAATCAGAAGTAAATTGAACACCCCGTGGTTACCATGCACCCCTCCTCATCTCTCAAGACCCATCCCACCCCTACTAAGCCCGGCTTCCCCCTAGCAGAGCCATTTGTATTGAACTTAAGAAACCGTCACTCGGTGGTTTCCATTCCTCCTTATTCCTAACCTCTCCCTACTCCCCATTCTACTCTCGGATTCTCCTACCACATAGGTTCAGATAGAGTTGTCCCCGCCTCAAGAGCCTTAACCCAAAATAAAGTCCTAATTTTCACCAAGGTAACAAGGTCATTTCTTCCTACCAAACATCCCCAAAAGTCCCAACTCCTCTTGTACGTAAGCAACAAATGGTTCAATAGCTCAAAGCGCCATCCCTAATTTTGATTAATTGAATTATGAGTCTTTGAAATTTAATTTGTCAAACCATGTTTATTCATCTTAAATAATTAATTAAAAATTAATAATTTAACTAGTGCGTATATGATTGACTTAATTAATATAATCAATTTTGCATGACAATACATAATTCATCACTTGAAAAATTTTCAATTAATTAATGAAAAATAAATTTCAAAGGACACTATATAACACTTTATAATTGATAGAAAATTTTCCTTCTCCATGGTGGATATTTAAATTTGAAACTTTTTATTTTTCAAAAAAATAAAAAAGACTTGTTCAATATTTGCTTCGGCACGATAGAAAGAAAGAAACACATTAATCAGCACATACTTCAAGTCGTGATCTGTTTCATGCACCTTTTTGGAAGAATATTGATCGGTTATCATATCTTGAGGGAAAAAGAAAAGAGATAGAGAAAGACCATTAAGCAGCTAGCATAGCCTGCAACAGTATAAAAGGAAAAATCGTTGGTGATTGATAATTTTAACTGTACCTAAAGCATGAAGTCTACTTTAAAAAGGGGCAAACCGCAAAAAAGATGGGTGTCAAATTAAGACTAGACTTGTTCAGCTATGAAAAGCAATCTTCTTTCTCAGTTTATCCATTTTCTCCTGAAAGGGCTACACAATTGCAGGACGGAAATAGATGGTCTACCAGGTTTAGATAGAAAAAAGATCACTCAGATTCCGGAGAGTATTCATATTCAGAATTCGGAGACGTAAAAAATGTACTCGAGAAGTAGTTCAACAGTGCAAAATCTGTTCATTTCTTTATTATCAAAATCTTATTCACAGGCCTTTTTGTTAGGCCGATCAGTCAGTATTGTTGATTGAGACTTCTCCATAGCCATGCAGACTACACCAGGGGGCTACACTCCTGTTTTCTTATCGCTTAATTCCTGCTAGTAACTCAGTTTTTCAAAGGCTACTAGTTCACTTTTCACATAGAAAAGCTCCAAATTTTTTAGTAGGGCATCAAAGCTTGGCGTATCCGGCGCCTGCCCACTGCTTTTTATGTAACAGACAGAAGTTACAATTAACGGTGTTTGTCAAGTCAAAATTGTAAGGTTCTTCGTCATGATCACCAAAAGTACGAATTAAAAAAGAAAAAGAGACGGGGTAGTACGTATTTAGATTCTGAATTATCATAAATTCTCTTGGCTTGAATGTATTATATATGGTTATAACACCGCAAAAAGTTTTTTTAAAACAATGCAAGCTGTGTCCTAAATGGCTTTTTATTGGTTAACTTGGAAAAGGGCCTGACATGAGGTGAGGCATGCCCTCACCTAAATGTAGTATGTTGAGACTTGAGAGATGCCCTGAACTTGTCCTGAGTTCAATTCTTTAAGATGCCATGACCTTTAACTGCCATTTCTATCTTGAACAGTGATGATTCTCAGCATTTAAATAAGAAAACTAAAATAAAAAAAAAGTAATAATAATGGGGTTTACCAATTTTCATGAGTGAGATACTAGAGTTTTCCCAAATAAATATTATGACATCAAGTAGGAACAAATATTAAGATAGAAGTTTTTTTTTTTTTCTTTTGAAGCAAATCGAAAGGAGTTAAAATAGAAGTTTGGGTAAGAGTTTGAAGGTTACAATATATATTTTAATGGTCATGAAATGTTAATGGCATTCAATTTCGCAAACTTTTGTTTTAAGTAGTTTGTCACTTCATTTAACATTACTAAGATTATAACTACCTTGCTAATCTACGTATAGTTTGCTATATATATTTATATTAGATTGCTAAAATGGAAAACGGAAATGTGTATGGAAACATATTCTCTTGATAGTCGACGAACCAAGAAATTAACACTGATCCATGTACTTACTCTCCTCTTGTCTTCTCTCTACAAGTAACTTGGCTAGAAAAAATCTTCAAAGTCATCACAGTGAATTAAGATGATGAACATGTATTGACATGACCAGAAAACTGTACGTGTGAGTTTTAGTTTTGAAACTAACGGAACATACAAGTCCAGTGATGATCAGTTGCTGTCATGATTCAGTAGCTAGATCTTAGCAAGCAGAATCAATGTAGTTTTGAATCTTATGGTGGGCTTGATAAAAGAAGCAGACAGGAAGAAGAGAAAATACAAGTCCACAAAATGATACAGGTAAAACTTGCTTTTGAACTCATCTGTTGCTAGGGGCATATGCACCACAACTTTTCAATGAATTGTTGTAGTCACTTACATTTTATACATCTTCAGTTTGTTTTTGCTCTTCAGTTAATGCATAAACAAGTTGGGTTTTCAAGCTTTGCAGTATAGGCCAACTGACCCGAGTGGATGTTTAAGATCTGGTAGACTGTTCCTTCCCTGTCTCCTTTTCTAAAGAACACGATAATACCAAATAGCCTACTCTTTGATTCTTGTAAAATTTGCAGGACTTGGCCTGTCGAGCATGATAAAAAAAAAAAAGAAGTTATACATGTGTACTGTGCGGGAGCCTTGAAGAGAAAAATGGAAAAGTGAGGGTTTCTCATCTAGGCTTCAACTGTTTTTGTGATAATCAGTCTCATTTCTGCAGTTTCAGTGGGGTTTTTGTTCATCAGTCAATGTGTAAGTAAAGTGGTTCTTCCAGATTTTCAATACAGACCAAGTGATAATATTTCAGAATATATATTTCAAATGATTATTCTGCTGAGGACATAACATATACAGATCTATTTTCAGGGCTTGATTGATAAAAAAGGAAAACAAGTTGCACTAAACCACAGTGCTAGCTAGCTACAGCCTTGAAGAGAAAATGGAAAAGTGAGGTTTGCTCATTTAGGCTTGAATTATTGTAGTCAGTCTCATCTCTGTTTTTCTGCAATTTCAACTGGGTTTTTGTTGTTCAGTCAATGTGTAAACAAAGTGGTTATTCCAGAATTTGCAATGCAGACCAATTGATAATATGAGAACTCAAATAATTATCCTGCAGTCGACGTCTATTCTTTTCATTCTCCTTTCTAAAGAACATAATAAATTCAGATAGCCTATTCTTTACCACGTTCAGATGAAAATTTTCAGGGCATGTCTTGTCAGCATGATAAAAGTTGCACCAACGCACAAGCCCAGAGCCTGCAAGACAAAATGGAAACGTGAGAATTTCTCTTTGTAGCTAAAAATTTGGCCTTAAATTACTGCAGTCGGGGCATTTCTAGTTCTTGATATGGAAAAATCTATTCAGTTCATCAGTTTGGTTCTTGTTTTTCAGTTAATGCACAAGTAAAGTGGTTCTTCAATCTTTACACTATAGTCCAAAGTAATGTTCAAAGACTCAAATGATTATTCTGCAGGAGATTCCCCTCATCACCCTTATCCTTTCTGGAGAGCACAACAAAAACACAGCCAATCTTACTGGATTTATGTCGAATTTGTTGGGCTGGAAATGTCCAAAATTTCACACTGGGGGTTTCTCTTTGTAGGCAAATGTATAGTCTTTGATGCCTATTATTTATAGACTGGCAGGACATCAATCAAAGCCAAAAGACAAATACATGAATTTGCCCCAAAATACTAAAAGGGGGTTGATTCAAAAATTTGCGAAACTAGCATAATTGTATTAAGTAACCAGTTTGCATTTTGCAGGGAAATGAAAGAATAAATAAAAATGGAAAGAAAAAGAAGACATAAACATAATGCAAGATAACCTTTTTTAAAATATTTCCCAAGTAACTGCAATTACAAAGTAGCATAACCTTTAACTGATACTAATGCTAGAATAAGAAGACCAGGGACCTAGTCTCTTGGATAAAGATTATTTTCCGTCAAATGGGCTACTTAACAATTCCTAACGAATGCCCCCCATCAGGCTTTATTCTTAGCTAACCCCATTAAGCCCCAAACATGCACATAGTACATGTCTTGTGGTTCTGGTACGGTGTGGTACAGTGAACAGACTTGGCTAACATCATCTTTACTGTACCACTTATTTTAGCGTCTCCTTGCAGCTGTTTCCCTTTGAGCATTGAAATAGACAGCTGCAACAGGGAGGCCCAGTTCATTTTCTTCTGCAAACTTTCTGGTATTGAAATGATCCCTTGATGAGGGTGTACTTAGCACTGCTTGTCTGCGTTTCTGCTTGAAGAGGAGGAACACAAACCTGTGGATCCCTATGTTTGGCCTCGGCATTTCATAGTTCACCACTTCCCTTCCTGGTGTTTTATAGAGCATATATAAAACCATAACAAATTTAGTCCTCTTCCTGTTACTTCATTTTCTATCATATGCTCTCTCTGAGTGGATTGAAAGGACTTACCAAATGTGGCATCAGTTGTGCCAGGGATATCTGTCACTATCCTGTGAGATTGTCAATTCAAGTTCAAAGAATCAGTGTATTGCTTAAAGATGTGTATTCTTAGTCTGATTTTCTCTTCTTATTTGATGAAACTTATTACCTTTGTTTTAGCATAATTAAACCTGGAAAATCAGGAAATCATGAACTCTAATGTAACAGTCATATCTAAATAGAGAGAGTGTAAGCTGCCCTATGAAAGGTACAGGTTTTTTTCTTCTTCTTTTTTTTTTTTTTTTTTTGTAATTTTGGGTTTGGTTTATTTGCAGGTACATGCTTAGTGCCAAAATGCGTTTTTTAGTCCTGCCTCAATTAAATCATGCCTTGTTACTTGCCCTAATGTGCATAGGGCATAGGGTAAAAGCTATTTTGGTATTAAAAATTCTTATACATACATACATACATACATATATATATATATATATATATGGAGTTTAATTAAGAGAAGATTAAAGGAAATATTACACTACCAGTGTAAGTGCTCCCTCAGGTAAGGGTCACTAGGACCAGGAACGTCTGGGTCTGTCATGACCTGCAATATTATAGAAAGACGATTGATGACTCTTTATGATATATGGCCGAGAATAAGATTCAACGAAAAAGAAAGAGATGCTATAGAGGTGCTGAAAAGTGTAGTTTACCAGGGTGAAAAAGGATCTCATATCGCCTCCATGGACATCAACCTTAGGCTTGTTAGTTACTGAGGATGGAAACAACTCATGGCCATTATATACCTGCTTGTTGGAGTTGAAAGTGACAGTCATTTTCACAGATGGGGTGATAGCATCGATAACATCGCCAATCACTCTCCCCACTACAAGAGGATCTGACAGTTTTGCCATCCCAGGGTGAAATAAAAGAGACAGGCAAAGGAAAAAGGAGTGATGAAGACTGAAGACTGGAAGTTGTTATAAGAGTCTGGATAAGCTTATATGCTTTTTTCTCTTTTGAAAGGTTTCTTATTGGGCAATGAAGTAGAAGAAGCCCCTTATTTATAGTGCTGAGAAGCACCCTCAAGCTAAATTGAGATCCACTAGTGGGGGTTGAGAGAAAAAAAAAAGGTTAAGAAAGTGGGACATCAAAACAGCAAAAGTTGCTAAGCAAAAAAAAAAACAAAAAAAAAAAAAAAACAGCAAAAGTTTACAATGTTCTGTTATCTAATAAGCTATACCATCAGAACATGTACCATTAGGGTATATTTCTCAAAGGTGAGCGATTGCAGGACACTTTTACTACTATAATTTTCCATAAAATCTTTTCTTCAATGGCATAAGTTCACTTTTAGCACATTTATATTACATTTTTACTTTGTTTATATTATAAGGTTAAGTTTGATTTGATCAGAACCTAATCAATAAATTTATAAACCTTATGTTCATGAATTCATATCACAACAAGCATATTCATTTATCATTAAAATTGAATATATTTGTTTAACATTTTTCAAGCCGTTACTTAGAGTAGACACCTAAATTTCTCTGGTACCAAAGACCATACCAATTTGTAACAGGCACAGTGATGAAAGTTAACAGATAGAGAACAATTGTCTTTGTTAACAGAAAACAATAGATATCTAAAATTTTCAAGTTTGGGATATTCACTAGGGCCCCCTCCCAACGCTATTGCATGCTCTCAAGGAAAACTGGTAACGGCGAGAACTCGTTATAGGAGCGAGATTCCTTGTGGGTCTCCCGCACAAGGATAACATTGTTAGTGTACATGGCACATGGCTTGTGTTATTTACCCTCTATTCCATTGGATATAGTACATGGCCTTTTTTTCCCTCTCTATCTTAACCATTGGTATAAGAGAGGACTTGGAAGGACATTGAGTATTTTATTTCCCTTCTTTTTCTCAAAGGTAGGTGTTGAAAGACATGACAAATCAACAAGAAATTAAAGAAAAGGAGAGGTGGGACTTAAGGTAGTACAAATTTATTTTAAGGACGAAGAGACTGATTTGGTGTAGTAATTGGTTTGGCATACAGATCCCTTTTTCTCCCTGGTGCGTTGCCGTTGAAATGGATAACTAGACAACATTATGCCAAAGGGTTGATTTCTTCAAAATCAAATCAAGGGAAACCCATCAAAGTGTGTCAAGGCAGAAAGAGAATATATGTTCATTAATTAGGACTTAAAGGGAAGTACTCTTTAGAAAGAAATGGCCAAGGAAAAGAAACAACAATGTGGGTCTCTCCTACATCTACTACTTATATATATAGATATATATATATATATATGTATGCATGTATGTGTGTTTATTATTTATTAATTTGTGTAGCTGGAGTTATCCCTGCAGAGCTTGAAAGCCATGTCTCCACTGAAGCAGTCCCCTCATTTTTTCTGCTCTTCTTTAACATAATGGAAAGGTAGAATTTTCGGCAGATCATCCTGCTAAAAACATTCTCAAGCTGGGGAGAGACTACTCTTGACCTTTTGCATTAAAGGTAAAAAAGGAGAAATTCCTGAGATGCATTTATTTCAGAACTTTCCCAATCTAACCATTCACTTATGAAGATATTACTGGTTTTAGGGATATTTTAAGGAAGGGGTTTGGACTTTTGGAGCATAAAGGAACTCGACCACCACAATTAATGTGCCAGTGCCACAACAAAGACTGCTGTAGTGGCGAAGGGTCATTTCAGAGTAAAGAGATTTCAAGTTGGGGTGTCGTTTCTCTACTTGAATTAGCAGTGAAAGAGAGTGGGGTTTCTACATTTGGAAACTCTTGCACTTCTTTTCTTCATATTCCACCCTGGAGTTAGCTTTCGATAATATAAACTACTGACTTCCAACCATGTGTTTTATTCTACCTTCTTTTCCTTCACTTCCGCTCTTCCTTTTTCCAGTTTTTTTCTGCCGAAAGGTATATATCAGTGATTCTTCTGCCAACAGTTTATATGTGGCCACTGGCCCAGACTAAACATCACATTCCCTAGGAAACTCATGGTTTGAATGAACTTCAAGAATATTCAAACATTATTTCCCACCAACAAATTTGTAGGTATATATATCAAAATATGCAAACCCATTTTCCTTTCCTTTCACCCTTTTCCTTTCTCCATTTTCTTCTCCTACATATATATATATATAATGTAAGTGATTTCTGTGGCTACATTTAATTATAACCAAATCTTACATTTATAAGGGGACAAGTATTTAGAAGAATAAATAACAAGACCGGCTAGCCATTGCAAGAAAAATAAAAATCATAAGATAATTATACTAGTATATAAGTGATCAATACATATGAAGCAACTCATTTTGAGATAAATCCTCATAACTCATATATAAATCTTTTTACTCATTTTTAAGATTCAAATTATACTAGTTTTTATTGTTACCTATTGCATGTGAATATTTATTTTAAATAATAATTATATAAGATTCAAATATCTCTAAAGTGTAAAGTTTAGTCTACAAATAAAATATAATTATAGTTGAAATATTTTAAAAAATATTAATCTATAAATTATCTAATACTGTTAAATTTAAAAAAGTTAATGAAATTCATTCAATGCAACGAGAATTCTTATTTACAAAAGAGATTAATCTTAGTAATATTTATAATAAAATTTTTTTTAATGAAAGTCGTTTTATACAATTAAAATTTTTATATATTTACCTAATAAGATTAATCTTATTAATATAAATGATAAAAATACTTAAAATATAATAAAAAAATTTTCTTATATAGTACAGATAAAGTCTCTAAGTTCGAAGTTTTAAATCCGAACCTTTAAATCTATAAACATGTCACGAAATTAATGTATAAAATCTTTTAAAAATCATTGCCGACTACGATAGTCCTGTTGTTTAGAATATATGTGGAGCAAAGGGAGCAAGTATCCAAATTTAAGCTTTAAAGTATGTACCTTTTCTGTTTAAAAGGCAAAAAAGAACATCACCTTAGCAAAAGTTTTCCTTCCCTTTAGGAAAAAAGAAAAGGAAACAAGTAAGAAGCTTTGCCAAATTCATTGCATTTGCAAATGCTTCCATGCATCTAACCAAGAGTACAAAGGCAAAGACTATTTCAAAAGTCTTTAGGTTCTTGCATTGCATGCAACTGCTTCGACAGTGGAGAATTGGGAAAGCATTAAAGCTAGTGGACAATAATTTACTTATTTACCTTTTTCCATTATAAAAGGCTATAGCACATTGCTTGTACATGCATGACACCTCCACTCCTCCATTCTCCTAGGGTTTCTATGTTTTATGTCTTGTATTTTTCTAGGTTTTTTGCATTATTCTTGAAGGGCTTTCTCTTTACAAAATTCTTGGAACAGTTGGACCTTTTGTGGACTGGGAATTGATAAAGTGGTGACGGTTTCCCCCGACAAAAAAAAAATAATTGTCTTAATATTTGATTTATTTATGAGTTATGTCTTTGTATTTGCTTGGATAGAGTATTGAATAATATGTAAATGTAAGATAAAATAGCGACTATTTTACCATGTAAAAATTTAATTATAGTAAACATTACTTGTGCACAATGAACGCACATAGATGAGGTATTTAAATTGTTTAATTATCTAAACTATTGAGGTAATGCAGAGTAATTAATAATCACCAAGCAAGATTAATTAATATTATTGATAGGGCGGCATAAATTTAACTACAAATTCATCATGTTTGGAAGAAAGTAGAAAACGCTTTCTGTCTACAGACAAACCTTCCCTTGGCTTTCACACTGTCAATCTCTTGGCAAACACATGATTCGATTTTAACTAGTTAGTATTATAACTATCAAAAGATATTACTAATTATTTGCTTTTATAAAACTAAAAGAATATAGTATATAATACTATTAGCAAAATTAGTTGATACTTTTAAAAAGTGGAGGTTATGGTATATGTTGTAGAGGCACCACACCCACCCTTGATTCCTGTTCTCTCTCTCCTCCAGAGTTCACTTGATAAATTAATATGTAGAGGCCTAGGTTGCCTTTACGTGATTCTCTCCCTAGCTTTGGGTAAAATACATATATTATTAACCTAATAATAATTTAATTAGATAATATAAAGATGGTGTTGATTAATGATGTGTGCAAGGGTATGCTGCAGTTTTTGGGAATGTATTTGTTGAAAGAAAGCAAGCATTTTCACTCCTTCTTTGAATTATTCATTCAGCTTTAAAATATGTTATCATATGTATATTGCTAATTAACTAAAAGTTTACATATGCGTATCCGATAGTGACAAAAATTTTAATCATTGCTACAAAAAGTAGGACTTTCATGGCTTTGAAAATGCATTTTGTTTTTTCAAAGGCTAAAAGTAATCTATTAATCATAAAAGAATGTAGAAAAATTTGTCAAAAGAGATCAAAGAAAATTTCCCCATTAAAAGAGAACAAACAAAAGCCCACAAAAGAGCTTCATGAAAGGTTTCATGCACTTCTTCCATTCATCCCATCTCTTCCATCATTAGTTTATCCATAATGATGAAAAATGAAAAAAGGGTTATTTGATAAACCCAAAATAAAAATTCAATATTAATGAAGAATTAAATATTGTTGGAATGACTCTTCCCCTTTCTTTTCTCTCTTAAATAGTTGTCTGGATGATTAAGAATCTGCCAAGTAGTGGTGAAGGGAGGACATGACCAGATGAAAGAGATCAAAGAGCATACTAAGTAATGGTGGAGAAGTCTGAGAAGTAGTATATTAGGTCACAACATTATGGAGGTTGTTATGTTTTAGGCTCGGGGGAACAACTTCCATTTCCATCCAACAGGAAATGAGCTTAAGCAATCTGTTTTTCCTTGTAAAATGGGCAAGGGCCTCCCCTGCCCAATTCACATAGTCAGGGCTTGGGCCTTCCTACCTAATCAATTCTCACGCACTGGGCCGCTTTCATTGTCAATATGGATGGGAATTGAAAGAAGCCCTCCAAGCTCTTTCAAGCCGAAATAAATCAAAAGATAATATTCTTTTTATTTTAAATAATATTTTCTTCTTACAGGCACCACCGAAGTCCCAAAAGTACCAACTTCATCCCTCTATGTCTCACAGGTAAAATTCTCACATACTTCGAAGTGGTACCTTCCCAGCTTCGAACTTTCACCACTCCAATCCTAGCGTTGTTGTTTTTTAGTGACAACACAAACAGAAGTACCTAATTCGGACACTAATACTAAGTTGCATTCAATGCACGTTGCCGGCTGCTTTTTGGAAACTGGAATAAATATCATTTGGCACTGTCCGCCGCAGTGAGCCCTGTGGATCAAATTCTAACTTGGGTCTTTTTCAAGAAACAGACTCTTGCTTTGATCTACTTATTTCAAGTCGGAATGACAAGTGGCCAGATCAAGAAGAAGGTCTCAGCTGCATCTGCCAGAGCTCATACTAGAGCTAACAGAGCCAGATCCAGTTCGTTTCCAGGTTGGGTTTTTAATTTTCTTTTGTTTTCTCAACTACTTTTATTTAAGTGCCTACAAAAATTTCTGGGTGTCTATTTATTTGGGATCAATTTATTGTCTTTGAGGATTTATTAGTCAAAGAATATGTTCCCGTTGTTACTTACTGTGTCTTAATGAAAGTTCCAATTTTGATTTGGTTGTTATGTTCTTGAAGAAATGGCAATAAATCTTTTTTTTTCTATTGCTCAGTAAATGGAAAAAAAATCTTATCGAAGGATACATGTTTGGATTCAAATATCTGATTCTTGGGATATGTATGCTAGTGCTTTCTCTATGTTTATGCAGATTCCACACTAATTATGTGTAAGTTGAGAACTGGTCTGCAGCTACCTTTAATACTTTTTCTGCTGCTGTTGCTTTTGTTGCTTCTTTCCTGTTCTGCTGTAATTCTAGTAGTCTTATCAGTTTTCCTGCTTTAGTATTTGGTTCATGCAACTTCCATTGATCCCGAAAGGTAAAAAGAGATTATATATATATATATATATATATATATATTTGCAGTAAGGACTCAATCCAATAGAAACTTTTGTGATAGAATTATACAAAGAATACTTTAGTTATTAATATTTTAAACCAGATGTTTCAAATATGCTATTGGAAAAAGCTTGATAGTTTTTGCACGATCAGACTTTGAAAATCACCCATGTATTAGGCAAATAAGCATCTGCTTAGCTCTAGGTCCCCTTTTCCGTGAAGAGATAGCAGACTCTGTATGTTTCAGAATGTGAAAAGCAATCCATGTTTTGGGTACAAAAGCAATTCTTTGGCTCTCTGAGTTGTGGTCTGCATTCTTTTCTCTTGTTTCGGCACAAGAAGAAGATAGATACTTAGATGAACAAAACATTGGAAAACGAATCCCTGTAATGCCTTTTGATGAAGGGACAATGTTATTTGGTTCTCACTTCTCGAGAACAGTTATCTATGAATTTTTAGAGAGCCCAAGAACCAGAACCACATTTTGCTAACCATTTTCTCCATTCATGCTGTTTTTCTAGTTTTCTGATTATCACCTGGTGTAAAATCTTTGTAAAATTTATAACTTACCGATTTGGATGAATATCACCAGTTGTAGATCTTCTATCTGTCTTCTTTCTTTAATTCTTTCTGATATGATGGATATTATGGTATTTTCTCCCTTTGTAGCAATGATTGCACCTATAGCAGTAGCTTTGACAGTAGGTCTTATGGGATGGGCTTATCAGGCATTAAAGCCACCCCCGCCAAAGATATGTGGCTCAGCAGATGGGCCTCCTGTCACTTCTCCTAGAATTAAGCTCATAGATGGGAGGCATTTGGCTTACAGGGAAGCTGGAGTTCCCAAGGAAGAGGCTAAGTACAAAATTGTTGTCATGCATGGCTTTGACAGCTCCAAAGATCTGAATTTACCTGCCCCTCAAGTATGAACCTCTTTTGATTATTTACAACTTTGCACACCTTATCATATATAGTTCTAAACCTTGTTGCTGGAATTTACTGTGTTACTTCTCAATAAATATGGAGGAATGACTGCTAGTTTTCTATTTAGACATGCTACACTATGTTTCATTCATTCTCTATAAAATGCTAGTACTAGTACTAGAAACATAAATGTTGTATCGATTTTGCTTAGCATTTTATCCACTTATCGGATAAAAAGCATATTTCGAATTCTTTAGTACACTTGAGAAGAAGGCTGGAAAAAAAACCCAATCACATGTGTGCATTTAGGTGTTTATATATGTAGCTCGGCAGTACCAAGCAACAGACTAAGGGATCAAGTCATGACCAAGCACTCTAGGAGCCAAGTGCAACTATAACATCTGTTAATTGTTTGCTGGCACCAGTGCTTAGGTCAAGCAACCAAATATTGACTTAATGAAACCAGATTGCCATCCTTTACAATCCCAGCATGTACCAATATGTAGTCTTCTCAGATCAAAACATCATAAGCCACCAGTTGTCAACTTGGAATGTGCAATTTCTATGGATTTTCTAGAAAATAAAAATATTGGTTGTATACTTATTAGGAGAGAAGTATGGGAAAACGTGTAGCAGGGTTTTGGAGTGCAAAACCATATGTTTAATTCTTGAGAGTGGCTAATTTAGTGACAGGCTATACGTGAGACTTTTTCCATTTCATCCCTCAAAGAACCTTGCTTGGATGGAATATAACTGGTCAATTGCGCATTTTATATTGTTTCATTAACTACATGATTTAAGTTGCCTTCGTCCATAAAGCTGAAATATTTGATATGAGGAAAGGTTGTGAATATAGCATTTTGGTTTGGTTTTTCAGGAACTTATAGAGGAACTCGAGATCTATTTCCTCTTCTTCGACAGAGCAGGTTATGGAGACAGTGACCCAAATCCATCACGCTCAGTGAAGAGTGAAGCATATGATGTTCAAGAACTAGCTGACAAGTTGCAGATTGGTTCTAAGTTTTATGTGATTGGGATCTCCATGGGAGCCTACCCTGTTTACAGTTGCTTAAAATACATACCTCATAGGCATGTTGCTCAATTTATTTGCAAGCTTCCTATGTTCTTCCTTTTGACATAGCAGAATTCTTGCTTTCTAAAAGGAGCTACCTTGGCAATGGCATTTTTTTTAATCTTATCTGCAGATTGGCTGGCGCTTCCCTGGTAGTTCCATTTGTCCACTACTGGTGGCCTTGTCTTCCGGCCAATTTATCAAGCAGGGCATTTGACAGGTTGCTTGCACAGGACCAATGGTCCTTTCGAGTTGCTCATTACACCCCTTGGTTATTCTACTGGTGGATGACCCAGAAATGGTTCCCTTCATTGAGCATTGTGGCTGGTAACATGGCAATTTTTAGCCAAAGTGATTTGGAGATATTGAAGAAGTGGTCAGAAGCTCCAAGTGTTGGTCAGGTTGTCACAGTTCTTATAAATTGATTTATCATAAGAAAGAAGAAACTGCTATAAATTAATGCATTGCTAAAGTTATGACTAATGTGTTGCCTGATGCCACCGGGCGTACATTGCAGAAGGTTCTCCAAAGAGGAGTAGTTCCTCATCAAACTTATGGTGGCTGACAATAAAAGATGAGATTTTAAAAAACACATGAAAGAATTTGTCATGCCTTGATTTTCCATAATGCTACATTCTTAGACATTTGATTCCACTATCGAATAGATAAGTTATAAACTTGCTTACTTTTAAAGCAAGTTCTCCAACTGATGTTGCTTAGCACGTCTGACTGCAGGAAAAGATTCGACAGCAAGGTGTTCATGAATCTCTGTATCGAGATATAATGGTCAGTTATGGAAAATGGGAATTTGATCCCATGGATCTAGTTAATCCTTTCCCTGACAATGAGGGCTCTGTCCATATTTGGCAAGGTTATGAGGACAGAATCATTCCATTTCAAGTAAATCGTTATCTCTCAGAAAAGCTTCCTTGGATTCATTATCATGAGGTTCCTGATGCTGGACACTTACTGATTTTTGAGAGCAAAAACTGTGAAGCTGTTTTACGGGCTCTTTTGCACAGATAAGACCCCAACTCTTCATAGTAAGATCTATGGTGCACTCAGCATTACACTATGTTTAGTGAACTGTTCAATGTCTTGCATGTGTGAATTTTCTTTTCTTTTCTTTTTTGACCTTCTTGGGGGGTGGGGGGGTGGGGCGTGGTGTTGTTGTCGGTACTCAGGAGGGTAAGAGGGATCAAACCTTGGCTCCATTAAAGGACTAACAACTGCTGTACCAAGTTTAGATTGTTCTTTAATGAGTTGTATGATGGTCTTGTAGAGTAAATGACAGGGCTCTCCCCCAAGATAGCAATGGTTTATCAGAATTACAATTATAAACTCTTGTGCTAAAATTCTGAAAGGGAACCTAATTTTACTTTATAAGATAGAAACCAACACTAACTCCTCTAAACTGGTTATTTACTTAAAAATTTCTGCCGATTTACTGTTGAACAAATATTTGATGCTTCCAAATCAAGTCCATTTTGTCATCGCCTGAGAGGCCACATCACTTGCAAAGTTCTAATCAGTCAAGCTGGGGTAAGCACATTATTTTCCCAAGTCTACGTATACACTGGAAAGTAACTCAGGACTTTCAAAAACTGATAAATATTGTAATTGCTTGGCTAAGAATAATATCCTACCATCGAGGACTTCAAGCTATAATTTTCATCTTGCAATTCGCCACAATTGGATACATGAATCAGCTGCGAGAGACTGGTGTGAATTATTAAGAATGAAATCTGTAACGATTGAGTTTAGTTTCTGCTATTTTTTTTCCTTCGTCGACGGACAGAGAGGACGAGTGGACGTCTGTGGAGAAGGTCTGAAATGGTGAAACAATGACTTGAATAAAAGAAAAGGACCAAGGGGTGGCACTGAAACGAGGCCCAAAGCTTCGACTGTACCTAACTAATGGAAGGCATTTGCCTTATAAAGAGCCGGGTGTTGCAACGATGATGCTGAACACAAAGTTGATGTTTTCCATGACTTTGATAGCTTTTCTACTTGCCATTATCTCAAGTGAGGAATCCATTCATGAATAATTAATGTCACATGGGAAAGCTGTGGTTGGATCAGCTACTGCTTTTCAGGGATAGCTAAAGTTTTTGTTGGGATATTCTGGTTTGGCACTGATTCAAACCTGAAAACACTCTTGTATATGTCTGACAGACTGAGTTAAGCTTAGAGATGGAAGCCTTATTTCTATCTCAATAATGAACAAAGATCAAGCCCTTCATTAGCTTTGTATCTTGTAGAATGCAAGTGGTCCTCCGCAATTTTTGTTATGACTTGTTTATAGAATTTCTCTTTCATTTTGTCTGTCAATGGATAAGAAACATACAAATATTATATAAAAATCTACCAAGATTTCACCCTTCAATTGGTCCATGACAACACTTATTGCTATAGGATATGACTTTCGATAGTGCAATTGTACTGCAGGCAGTTTTTCATGTTTTAATTTCAAACTGTTTGAACTTAATGGGAAATTGGTGGAAGATAGCTTGTTATACGTTAGATATAATTCCACTGGTCTAGCTAGAGCATTGTTTTCGAAGTTGCAACCCACTACGACGGCCGTCACCAACGCATAAGTCACTTAGGCAAGCCAACACAACCCAACAAGCTTTGTACATATATTAATCTTGCAAATAAGTTCTTTGCTTTGTCATATTCTCTCGATCTTTTATAACCAGAATTGCAAATTTAATTCTTAAACACTCATAAAAATTCTTAATGAGAGATTTAAAATATGAGTTTATATTTGATGCACTAACAGTATATATAAGCTATACATTGTCAAGCTACCAAAATGTGCTATCTCATTAATAAGATAAAATGAAAATCCATTAGGAACTTAAAATTAAATATTGAAAAGTTTTCAACATTTAATGAGATAAAAAATTAAAATATGTTTTTAGTGTCTCTAAAATCTTCTCCAAGTTTCTCTCTAACCTTCTGATCTCAAAAAATTTTACAGATTTTCCATGTCTCTATAAAAAAATCTTTAAAATCTTGTTTTTCTTCTTTTCGGTTTAAAGTTTTTTTTTTCTTTCGAATTTAAAGTGCAAAGGGAAAGAGTAACCTTCTCTCTAAATTCAGATCCACCTTTCCCTCTAACCTTTCTCTTGTTCTCTTTAAACAATCGAAAATTTATTCAAGTTCAGTTTTACTTTACATGTGATTGATTAAATTTGAAATCGATAATAGAATTTTCAATTTAAAGTGTGAGATTTGAAATTGAGAGTCTTTAGTCTATATTCTTGTTATCGATTTAATTAGCTATTTTCATAGGATCATAATGTGGTATTACTTTTTACATGTTTATAATGACAGAACTCATGGATTGATTTTTTTTAAAGAGCACTCATGGGTTGATTTAACAATCTTGATTTCTTAAAACATAAGGCATGTAAGATTTTTATTTTGATTAGTTCTTATGGTATTAGACATAAGTTAGGTATGTTATACTATTTCCGCAATCTCTCTAGATGGAGATATAAGAATAAGTAGAGATGATAATAGTGCAAAGAGGAAGAGCTCATGGAAGAGAGTTTTGAGAGAAAGTAAAACCTTTTAATTATCATCGCTCTTGAAATTGCATAATTTTATTGTATAATTTTATCAAATTTAATCTTAATGGAAGAAGAAGAGGAGAAGAAGATAATGAAGTTGGAGAGAGATTAAAAAACAAGATCAGAATAGTTTAGAGGAAGTTGGACAGAGAAAAATAGATTTTTTTAAAAAAAATTATTAATATTTAGTTTTAAGTCCTTAATGGATTTTAATTTTACCTCACTATTGAAATGTCGCATTTTAGTGACTTGACAATATATAAAAAGATATACATTGTCAATGCATCAAATATAAATTTTTAAAATATATGTGCAACACGTCTTAAAATGTAAACATTCAAAGATTACACCACTAAAAGTTTGTCAAATAACATCTAAGGGCTTTGGCCAAAAATAGTTTTATAAATTTAAAGACAATAAACAATGTGACATCTAGATAGCTGAGTGACACAAAGGAAGTGTTATGAGATGTCAATTACTTATGCAACAAGCTGAAGTTTCTTACCATGGCTGCTCCCAATTAATTCACTTAATATGCCATTGTCAACTAGTTAGGGTGAGCCTTTCATACTCAGTGAGTGGATAGAAAGGGAAATAAGCATCAAGGTAAAGTTTTTGTATAAAAAAATGATAATAATACATATCTATGACAAGATAAACTGTGCATAGAGTTAATAAATTGTGTGCAAGTGAATATAAGATGTTTGAGTTTAAATCTCAAAAATTAAATCATCAAGGAGTTTTGTAAATTTCATGCTCATAATAAAACAATTAACTATTGCAATTTTAAGTATAGTAAATATCCAGTATGTCATGTAAACAAATAAATCACGACTATGGTTTTCTCAAAGCAAGTATAATAGTAATGTCATGCTGAATTTGTAAAAACATATCAATTAAGGTATTTTCAGCTAGGTTTAATATAGCCTACGGGCTCTCTTTCTCATATCAATGACATTAACACCTACTCATGAGAACTCCTCATACTAGCAAATATGAGTCGAAACTTCAGGTCTTTTTTTACCTATTAATGGGAATTTCCCATGACACCAAATATGAGTTAGGACTTTAGGTGCCCTTTATTATCAATCATCAATAATCATTACTTTGTGCACAAAGATTGCACCAATTTGGTGTGATAATAGGACCTATACCCGTAAGGTTTACCTAAAAAAATAAACCAATGGAAATTCAAATAAGTAAAATTAATTTCAATCATAAGTTCAATAGGTATGTATGTATATTTAAATAATAAAAGCCATAAGCAACATAAAACTAAGTTCATCATAAAATCAATGAACAATAAAATAACAAGTTCACATATGAAAATAAATGAACATGGCATAATTAAATTGTTTCACTCAAGCATCATGAAAATTGCCACCAAGGCAAATTAGAAAATTCATTAACAACCACTATAGGGCCTTGAGAGTGTAATACATACAATTTTGAATACTTCAAAATAGAGTGAAAAAAATCTCATCATATTTCAAGGGCCGGTTTCCCAATTTGTAAATAGCTTAATGGTTTTGATATACACGCAAAAACAACACGCATAAAATGAGCTTAATAATCATTTCTAATCACTAGTAGCTAATGCAACCCAATTGCAATTCAATTATGAACATCAGAACTCAATGTAATTGAATATTATCTAAACAATGAGCATATCTAACATATTTAAAATATTGTATTTACCATTCAATAATTCTTTAAAAAAGAATTGCTCACTCACCTCTTTGGTGAAACTTCTCACCAATTCACTAGCCATTCCTTTTTATTTGATTCAGCTTCCCTTAGCAGATTCCAGCAAGTTAAATGTTTATCACCCAAATCTTCTTCACCCTTTTTTTTTCTAGCAATGATCAGCCTTGCTCAATCAAATTCCTTGCAATAACATGTCACCACCAATTAATAAAATTTGTGATGCTTTTACATCTACTTATTTGGCCAACAAAATATTAACAACTTAAACCTCAATTGCAACCATTCATTCTTTTTCTTTTTATATATATTAATTTTCCACATCCATCAAAGCCTAAGCCTCGGGTTAGTCAAAGTTTTCAACATATTTCCTTCTTCACTAACTTTGCTTAGAAACTAAGCACAAGCTCAATCAATCTCCTGGTCATCAACAATTTATATTTACCTAGTATATCTTCTAAGACTATCTACTTGTACATGTGACCAGCAGTTAAAATGGTAATCTAATTTCAACTTCCAATTTATTTCCTTACCTTCCCAACTTCACCAATCAGCCTTTGGTACTAAGCCACGGTTTGGTAACATTTTCAGCAACTACGTCGTCTTATAATCCCTTACAACAAGGCACATATAATTAATTGAACAATCTTAATTTTTATTTTTATTTTTTTATAAACCGTAGCTAATTTGGGTGAGCAATTAACCATGAGTTCTAGCACCTTAGCTCATTGACAGCTAAACTCATCCAAATTCTTGATTTTC